GAACAAAACGACAGCAACTTGTCTGTTCCCCTTCCCCCAACTCCCCAGCACTGTTCCCATCCCCCCAATTCCCCAATAAAAAATCTTTAAAAAAAAAAAAAAAAAAGTCTGCCGACCCTGCTCTACCCATCTGTGTCTCCATGTTTATTAAAGAGAGTTAATCATAGGAAACGGCCTCTGGGACCTTTACAGCATGGGTAAGAAGTAAGTATTTCACAGGCTTGCTTTTCGGCCCCACGGAGACAAAAATGGCCACAGAGTGTTTTCTTAAGATTACTGAAACCAATAGCATATCTGGGCTGTAAAAAGATTGAAGTTGTCTTTTAAGTGTGTTTTGGCCCCAGGAAAACGAAGAGTAACCACGCGGAAGGAGTTGGAACACTGAATCAGAAACTTTCAGACAAGAAGTGCCCCAAGGCAAATGCTTCCGGCCACCTGTGCTAACAGCAGGACTAGGATGTGGGTGGGTGTGGGCGAGGACACAGGACAATAACTCACTTTATGTGCCATCCTCGGTGTCGCCCAGCACAGGCCTGACACACTGGCCTGCTTCATAAATATTTGTGTCTATGAACAAAGTACACAAAGCTCTTCCCCACACCTGTGTACCAGCTTATCAGGTAGGGGCTTATCAGGTCAGGGGAAGCTTCTGGAAAGATGGCGGCCTCCCAAATATGGCCCAGGTAGGGGTCAGGACAGGGAGAGAGTCGGACCCTTGCAGGAGATGGGACCTGGCTTGCTGGGGAACAGACTATCCAATGAGATATAGTCTAGCCTCCAAGTAGAGTATGTGGTTTCATTATGAATAATGAGAACATCCAACATTTGTTTAGCAGTAGCTCCATGCCAGGCTCTGCAGGGGCCATCAGCACATTCCGTCGTCATGACCACCCTCTTTGATGGATGTTCTTTCTCTGCAGCAGTAATTCTCCAATCCTTTCTTCCTAGCCAGCAGAATCCTCTCCCCGTTCTATGATGGAGGTTTAAAATGGCAAGTGCCTTCATTTTTTTCCCCAGCCTCCCTTGCAGGTGAGGCTTGGGCAGGTGACTGGAGCTAGCCAGTGACACAAAAACGGAAACCTTTTTGAAGTAGTCTAGAAAAGATTTCCTCTCTGATGAGAACCTTGAGGAGAATCCCTGTCCTCCTCCTTCCTGCCTTGGGCCTTGTCCTGTGGGGCTATGATGGATGGAGCTGCCGCAGCCATTTTGTGATCAACAGGGGAAGACGGTCAAGAGGAGAAGCCAACCAAAGGCTTTTGGAGGTACTGAAACAAGCTCGAACTCTTTACCTTTTGACTCCTTGTTAAGTGAGAAAAACAAACCTATTTTTCAAGTCTTTTTTGGTATGGCGTCCTGTTACTTGTAGCCCAAAATGCCCTGACTAGGAGGGTTAAGTTTAGTATTGTCTCCATGTTACAAATGAGGAAACTGGGGCAAATAAAATAAGTCACCGAGTTAGCAAGTAACCACTGCCAGTATTGAGTGCTTCCTACGTGTACGTGCCAGGCATTGTGCTGTGTGCTCTCACTACGTTATCTCATTTAATTTCCCCCCCAGTTTTATTGACATATAAGTGACACACATCACTGTATAAGCTTAAGGTATATAAGTACAGCATAATAGTATGACTTACATATATTGTGAAATGATCACCACAATAAGTGTAAGTAGCATTCAGCATCTCATATAAATACAATAAAAAAAGAAAGCAAAAAAAGAAAAAAATTCTTTCTTGTGATAAGAACTCTTGGGATTGACTCCCTTAACAACTGTCCTATACATCATACAGCTGTGTTATCTGTGGTCACGCTGTGCATTGCATCTCTAGTATTTATTGATCTTATAACTGGGAGTTTGTACCTTTTGACCACTTTCCTCCAATCATTTAACTCTTGTAACCACCCTGCAAGGGGTGGGTATTATGAGCCCCATTCTACAGATGGAGAGACTGATGCTTAGATAAGTTAAATAACCTGCCCAAGGTCACATTTGACTGGAAAGTGGCAGAGGATTTGAATCCAGACCTGAGTCCAAAGCCTGTGGAATGTCTCCTGTGCTAATAAAACCAACATTTTACTCACTCCTTCTTTTCACGAACCTTTACCGAGTGTCTTTGCTACATAGAGTTGGGTGCAGGCATGGGGGACTCAGGGATGAGCAAGGCAGCTCCTGTCCTCCAGGAGCTCAGACAGATGGGTGGCGGGTGTGGGAAGAGGGACAGTGCAGTGTGACGGTCGCAATGATGAGTCACTGAGCGTACAGATGGAGCAACGCTCTGGTCTGGGGTTGGGGGAGGTCAGGGAAGGCTTCCTGGGGACTTCCCCCAGGGAGGCGAATATGATCAAGTGTTTGGTCCAGTGAGAGAGACAAAGATACAAAAACACAACGAACAAACAAACAAACAAAACCCTCAGCTGAGACCCAGGGCACGGGGAAGTTGACTCATGGGGGATCCTTTGGAGGGATGGTCTTGAAAAACTGCAGATACAAAAACTTCTTGTCTTCTCTCATCCCCCAACCTGTGGCTCCCCATCTCAGGAACAATCTCTCTGTCCTCCTAGGTGCCCACCCCACCTGGACCTCTGGGGACAGTTCCCTCCTCCCTCTGCCCAGTCCACAATATCCAGCCTGTCCCCTAGTCAACTCTATTCTCCCTGAGAAAAGTCTGTCTAAGATGTGCCCTCCGTCCACCTCAGTCACTGTCCTGGTTTCCCCGCTGACTCCATCAGCCCCCTAACTGGCCTCCTTCTGCCTCAAACTCTCTTCCCATAGAATCCATGAAGGCCTCGAAGGCTGAAGCTGGAGCCCTTAACAGCTCTGCTATTCGGACTTTAAACACACAATTTAAATGCACGTGCTAGATATTCTTTTGCTCCCATGACTCCCCATCTGTCCGCTATTACAATCAGTCCTTTGGATACCCCCCTAGATTATAAGCACTGGGAGGGCAGGAGCCAGGCCTTGCTTCTTTGTTTTATCAACAGGGCCTTGCAATATACCATGCACATAGTAGGTGCTCAACAAACGCATGTCACATGAATGAATAAATATCTAATCCCCCATTAGACTGTGTCCTAGCTGAGGGCAGGGGTAGTGTTTGCTTTGTTCATCTTATTTATGTACACCTTCCGTGTACTTCAAATGGTGCCTGGTGCACAGTAGGTGCTCAGAAAATGCTTGCTGAAGGTAAGAGTGAGTGCTGAATGAGAGATGTTGTATTCCCCGACTAGCTTGTGAGCTCCTTAAGAGCAAGGACAATTATTTTCTCCTTTTTGTGGTGCCGCATGGTACCTGGCAGGCAGCTTGGGCTGTCAATAATTGTCTCCCTGAAGAAGGAGGACCTTCCTTCTGTGACACAAAAGCACTCACCTTTGCTCAGGTTCCGGAAAGAGCTGAGACAAGGAGATGCCACAGAGGGCGGCATAGGCGAAGCGGTTGGCCTCGGACAACTCCCGGCCTATGGGCAGATGTGGCTCCTCCTCCATGGTTGGCTCGGCCGCATGAAGGAGCCTGTGGCTGGATCTGCCCCATGTGGCCATTTCCAGCCCTGCAGGAAAAAATCCCAGTGAGAAATGCATCCAAGGGGCAGGCAAAGTTACTTAAATGGGATACCAAAAATTATCAACCATAAGAGAAAAGATGGATAAATTAGCCTTCATTAAAACTAAGAACTTCTATTCATCATCTTTAAGAGAGTGAAAACACACACCATGCACTGGGGGAGAGAGTTTTAATATGTATAGCAACAAAGAATTTGTATCCATCATATGTAAATAACTCCGATAAGTCAGTAAGAAAAATAAATGAAGCAAATTTAAAAATGGGTGAAAGACGTGAATAGATACTTCATAAAAGATATCCAACGGCCAATGGGCACATGCAAAGGTGTTTGACATCATTATTCAGCAGAGAAATATAAGTTAAAACCCCAACAAGATATTATAATTCACCCATCTGAATGGCCAAAATGAAAAGACCAACAATACCAAGTGTTGGTGAGGATAAGGGACAAATAAAACTTCCATACACTACTGGTGGGAATGTCAGTTAGTCATCAGAGAAACGGAAATTAAAACTCATTGAGATACCACCATGCACCTATCAAAATGGTTAAAATTAAAAAGATTGACAATACCAAGCGCTGGTGAGCATAAGGAGCAAATAGAACTTTTATACACTGCTGGTGGGAGTGGAAACTGGTACTATCATTTGGAAAATGGTTTGACATTATCCTCTAAAGCTAAATGTATGCCTTCCCTTTGTTCCAGCAGTTTCTGGTCCTGAGACATGAGGGCTTATGTTCACCAAAAGACATGTATGTGAATGCTCACAGAAGCTCCACTCATGATAGTTCCAAACAACCCACATATTCACCCGCAGGAGAAGGAAGAAATGCCGTATTCACACCCTGGAATATTCCACAACAATGAAAAAGAATGACATCTGGCTAACCACAATGACATGAGTGAATCTTACAGACAAAATGAGAAGCAGAGAGCCATTCATGAGAATACCTACTGTAGGATTATGTTTACATGAACTTGAAGAACAGAGCAAACCAGTCTAGAGTGATAAAACTCAGAAGAGAGGTCACCTCTGGGAGAGAATATTGGCTCAGAAGGGGCCCCAGGAGGCTTCTGGGTGATGGACATGTTCTATATCTTGATCCAGGTGGTACTTACATGGTTAGAAATATATTTAAAAATTCACTGAGCTGTATACTTAAGATTTGTGCACTCTATGTATGTGATACTTCAATGAAAGGAAGGAAGGAAAGAAGAAAGGGAAGGGAAAACAGAAGGAAAAGAGAGAGGGAGGGCTCCTTTCCCCTCCCTGTCCTCCTCCCTTTATTCTTTCCTTCCTTCCCAGGGGGAGAGGGAGAAGAAGGAAGGAGAGGAGAGAAAACACACCAAGCCAAGCCAGGCCTCCGAGGGGCAGTACGGGCCCTGGGAGCAGGTTCTGGGAAAGGTACCAGTCTTGACTACACTGTGGATATGAATGTGGGCTCAGGACCAGACAGGCCTGGGTGTGAATCCAAGCGCCTCCGTCTAATAAATATGGGATCATGGGCCACATAACCTATCTGCCCTTAGATTTCTTCACCTACAAATGGGATTATAACAGTATCTGCCTGGAAAAGCTGTTAGCAGTAAATGACATAGCCATGTGGGTTAGTATTTATAAAGAAAGCATTTACAACAGAGTCTGGCCCAGGGCTCATGCTATATAAATGTTTGTCAAAGAGAGAAATGCACAAAAAAATCAACAAACAAACATAGGAAACGCCCAGCACTGAGGCTGGCACACAGCAACCGTGTGTAAATAATGAGGAGAGCCAACGTTATTGAACCGTTGCTGGATGCCAGGTCCTGGGCTGTAGCTTTCACATGGACGATGTCAGCCAACTCTGCGAGCCAGGTACTAACACCATAATGTCCAGTTTAAAAACAGGAGACCAGGCTCAGAGAAGAGGTAACACCGCCAGTAAACGGTAGAGCAGAGTCCGAAGCCAGAGCTCTTGGCCACTTACTTCTGTTTTAAACACTCATTCTATCACCAAGAGATTTCTAGCCTAATACTCATACTCTACACTGGTTTTGGCCCCTCACATTCATTCTCACCCAGCTGAACAATAAAATTTCTGTTCTCAAAATATTACTTCTCTGGAGGAGTTATTTAAAAGTCTGTCCACAACTAATATTTCATGGGCTTTTCCAAAAAAATAACAAATAAAAAAATAACCCTGAAGTTGTTAGAAGCAACAAACCAACATCTATTCAGCAAGTAACAGTTTACAAAGCACTTTCCAATCCATTTAATTCTCACAACTACCATGCGAGGTTAAACAGGATGTGAACCATATTAATTCTCTACTATAATGAGGCTCAAAGCGGCCAAATGGTTTCCCCAAAGTTATACAGCAAGTATGTGATGCAAGTCAAACCAGACTTTTGGCTCCAAACCGCACGCTCTTGCCGCTACAGCACAGGGATTCTTCCTCCTTTGTTTCAGATGGAGAAACGGAGGCACAGAGTGGTTAAGCCCTTACCCAACGTCACCCGGCAAGACGGGCCTCCAATGCCTGCTCCAGGAAGCCAAGTTTGAGATGCACAGCAGATTTCCCTGGCTCAGAGCATCATCCCAGGCCAAAGGGGACAGCAACAGGCCACAAGCTAAGGAGAGCACCAGGGGCGGCAGCCAGACATGATGTCAGCAGGCTTAGCGACTTCTGCTACATGTATTCAGCTCCACGTGTCATTTGGAGGGTGCAGTCATTGTGGCTATTACCCAGAGGAGCCCCAAATGGTTTTTTATTGGGCTGGTATCTGGGGAGACCCACACTGGTTCTTAATTCAAGAATAAACCACCTTCTAATCAGAGAAGCACGAGTTGGCCTGCCTCTAACCACAGGGGAGAGGGGGGTATGCTTTAGTGCACAAGAAGCTCTGTCAGGCCAAATTCAGTCATTCAACAAACTACACTCTTGATGTCCTATGATTCATTCTCTCCACAGTGGCCTCAGTTGCTTTTCTGTCATATATACCAATCATATCACTTGCCTGCTTAAACATCTCCAGAAGCTTCCCACTGCACCAGGATGAATACCAAACCCCCTCAGACGGCCTACAACATCCTGTGTGATCAGCCCTGCCTGCTTCAAACTCCATCTCATGCCCCCCACATCCGAGTTGTTCACAATACTACGGCCACGATGGCTGTCTTTCTGCTCTTCAAATAGGCAAGCTGGTTCCCCCTCAGGGCCTTTGCACCTGTCATTCCCCCTGCCTGGGACACTCTTCCCCTGATATCATTGACACTATTCTGGCCTCAGCCCAGAGGCCACCTCCTCTGAGAGGCCTTCCCTGATGCCCCTCTATCCCAGCACCCTGTTCTATTTTTATAATACTTAGTCCTATCTTAAATAATGTTTTAAAATTATTCATTTACTTGTGCATACAAGTAGAATAGAAGCATCTTGAGGCATGCCCCTGGCTTGTACCCCTAGCTTTCCAGGCAAGCCCTAGAATATTGTAGGCATTCCATAACTATAATACTTGCTGGATGAACAAAGAACAGTATATGATATATGATGTCCTGTTCTAGGCCTTGGGGCAGATTAGAGGACAACACCGACAGATTGCCTGCTCTTAAGGGGCTTACGTTCTAGGGGGAGATAGGCAATAATACACCAATACATAATAATAATAATAACTTAAGTAACTTGCCCAAGATCACATATTAATAGCTAGAAAGTGGTAGAACCAAGATTTGCACTTGGGCTGTCTGGTTGTAGGATCCATGTCCTTAACAGCCCACTAAATAAATCAGTAAACGTTTGGTTAGGAAGTGATCATCTGGGAAGAACAATCAGGCCGGGTGAGGGGGATGGCAAGTGATGGGTAGGAGGGAAGTGACTTGGGTATGCGGATGAAAAGTGGCATTCCAGCAGAGGCCTGCAGGGAGTACGGGGGCAGCCCTGTGATGGGCGGGAGAGGGAACTCCATTAGAAGAAAAAGGACAGTGGCAGAGAGAGGCAAGTACACAGATGATGACAAGCCAGCAAAATAAACTCTGTGACAGGGGAAATACAAATAGATAAAGAGAGGGGGACTGGAACCTAGAACTGACTTCCTAGAGCAGGTGCTATCACACAGGGGTGGGGTGGGGAAGACAAGCATGTTTTGGGCAGAGGAGATGGCACATGTCAAGACCCAGAGGAGGGGGAGAGAAGAACCAAAATGATGCTCATGTCAAGACCCAGAGGTGGGGGAGAGAAGAACCAAAATGATGCTCGGTGTAGGCAGGGTTTAGACAACAGGTGGGCGCGGAGGGGTGGGCGGGCAGAGACAAGGTTGGAGAGGTTGCTGCCAGGGGCCATACCACACAGTCCAAGTCCTTTGGCTAAGGGATCAGACTTAATTTAAGACTTAATTGTAAGACCATGGCCATTTGGGGAGGCGGTGTGGATATATGGGGCCTCTCTGGACTATTTTTATAATTGCTTGTAGTCCATAATTATTTTTTTTAAAAAAGTAAAAAAAAAAAAAAAAGAGCAGTGGCATGTCTTTGTAGAATTTGGAAGACCCTTTCTTAAGGTCTAAATAAATTAAAAATAAATATCCACCTCCTCCCCAAATTAACCAGTTAGTTAATTTAATACACACATACGGTGCCTATATGTACCAGACACTGTCCTCCATGCTGGAGACACAGTGGTGACTAAGGCAGAGAGACAACAGCCCTCCGCCATGGAGCTAAACCTAGTGGGGCAAACACTACATCAACTCATCATCCTTAAAACAAGACCACTTTAAGTAATGGTGAGGGTTCTGGAAGAAAAAGAAACCTTAAATAATACTTACCAGGGTTTCAAGAAACAACTGTGGGCCTCCCCTCTAGGTCTGAAAACAGGTTAGGCAGCTTCTGGATGGTTCTTCAAAGAAATATGCAAATTGCCCTGGAGAAGGGAACCAGCCAAACCAGCCTGTGGGTCCACAGGGCATGGGATCGAAGGCCTATGGGAGACAAGGATGGGGAGTCTGGCTGCTACTGGCGCCTCTGGGCCTTTGCCGCCACAGGCCGCTCTGCCCGGGACGCCTCTCTCAGCAGGCGCCTACCGTTCACGGAGCTCAGCCCTGGTGCTTTGCACGGACTGCCTGTTCCAACTCCTCATGCCCTGAGCGGTGGCACCTGAACTGTGTATACTGGTCAGGACCAGCGGTGCTTCTGTGCCCTGGGGTCACCTACAGCGGTGCTTCTGTGCCCTGAGGTCACCTACGGGGCAGAGAGCTGGTCCAGCAGCACCTGGGGCTCAAGAGGTCACTGACGGACAGAGTAGCTCCCAGGGACTCCCTGGGGTCTTGACTGTGAAGACACCAAGGCCTGCACTTGACCCAGAAGAGCCCTGACTTACAGGGAAACAACACACACATGATGAGATGAGCAGGGCGAACACTCGCCCACGAACGGACTGCAAAGTCCGGATATGGGATGGACAGGGGTCCCTCTGCAGTGGGGCCTTGTTCTGATGCTCTACAATTATGACTTTTGTCTAGCCAGTCACATTATCCATCACCAAAAACCCCTCCAAAACACTGGCTGAGTTATTTTTGTCAGTAGAGAGGGTAGATAGTCATTCCACAAACATCTACCCTCAGTCTGCAAGCACCTACACGTAGGTGCCCACCCAGAATGTACTGACTACCCAGAAACAACGCGTGGGATTTCTTCTTGGGGTGATGAAACATTCCAAAGTCAGCACCGAGGAGAAAAATCAAATATGGTCAATATCGTCCTTGAAAATCCTTCAAATCATCCTTAAATCCCCACGACCTGGGCCTTTAGAAGATCACATGCAAGAATGAACTTTTGTTTTTCTTACACACCAGCAGCCACTTGTGGCCTTTTTAAAAAACTTGGAGCAGTCAGTGAAGGCGGAGGTCAAATTCGGGGCATGTGTGTGCGTGTGTGTGTGCGTGTGTGTTTGGGGGCGCGGGGTCATTTTGTCTCTCTTCCTCTTTTCTGGTTAACCGGCCACAGGTGCATTTTTTTTTTAAAGATTTTTATTGGGGAATTGGGGGATGGGAACAGCGCTGGGGAATTGGGGGAAGGGGAACAGAGAAGTTGCTGTTGTTTTGTTCTTCAGTCTAGTTGTGAAGGGCGTTGCTTCACTGGCCCAAGTTGGCACCATCATTGCACTCCTCCTAGGCGAGACAGATCAGTCGCCGGCTTCTGGACGGCTGCTCACTGCGGCTGCTGGCCGCTCACGCTGGCTGCTGGCTACACACAGTAGCCCATGGCAACCCACTGCCACAGGGGCTGCAGCCTATGCCGTCGCCGGCGACTCATGGCAACCCAGCTCCAGGTTGAGCTGTTGTTCAGCATCTTAGCTATAGAGGGCAGTGTCACTGGCCCTCATATGTGGGATCCGAACCGGGGCCCTCTGGCATCCCAAGCCAGTTCTTAACCATCGCGCCACTCGGCCGGCCCCACAGGTGCATTTTTAAAGGAGCCAAGGAGAAAGAAAAGCATCTGGCTAAAGAAATCCTTTACAACAAATAGAGCTACTGCACTGCTAGGCCAGAAACTCAGAAGATTGTAGATCAATGAACACACACACACACACACACACACACACACACAGATAATCTTGAGATGGTCCTAGAAGGGAGGATCCTGGGAAATCCCAGTTGACTCCCCCTCCCCCATCTAGCATTTTGGGAGAGAAACCATCCATCCCATACCTCTATCTGGAAGTTAAATGGCAAGTCAGTCGTAAAGGCAGCATCTCAGCAGGTCTCTATGGCAACAGTTTCAACATAGAAGGACCCAGAGAGTTTTGGACAATCCCACTACATACCAGAAGAAAAAAGGGATGTCGGCGCAGAGAGAAAGCTCCCATCCCAACCTCACTTCAGCAGCCTGGAGGCAGGGCTGGGTGACAGCATGAGGTGGAGCTCCAGGGTCTATGACCTTCGGTCCGCATTTATCACTGTACCCTTCCTCCCCTGTTTGTACCCTAGTATAAGCTGTCATCGTCTCTCCGGCAGGAGCCTCCTCACCATCCCCTGCTTCTTTCTGCCTCGCCCCTAGCTACCCACCACAGAGCATGCAGACAGCTCCATCTCACACTGAAGTCAGACCACATCCCTTCTCTGCTGCAAACCTCCAGTGACTCCCTCCTCACTGACAGCCACAGTCCTTACAACGGCGAGTGGGCCACGTACAAGCTGCTCTCCTCCTCCTCTCCACTTCACTCATCCAGCTCCAGCCACACCATCCTGCTGCTACTTCTGGATGCCCCCTCGCACGTGCTCACCTCAAGGCCCTTGCCTCGGCTGTTCCCTCTGCTGGGAATACTCTTCCCTCCAGAAAACCACATGGCCAACTCCCTTATCTGCCCCGGTCTTTCCTCAAATCTCACAGCTCAGTGAAGCCACTCTGCCCCAGCCTTTCATCCCAGTCCCTTTTGACTGGTTCCTCTGCGTGGTCCGGGGCACACATCGCTGTCCGACATACTGTAGCATTTATTCGTTATGTTTATTGCTAGTGTCCGTCTCCCTCTGCCCACATGTAAGCATAGTAGGCTCTTATCAATATTTGTTGAATGAATAGTGGTTTCCACTTGGGATAACTAAAAAATAATTCAAGAGGCCAATATGCCTGGGAAGGAAGGGGGAGAGATGGCAAAGTGTGTAACGGTTCATTCGACCCACCGGTTTTTGAACTGCTCCACAGGGACCCCGGGACTTCTCTGGTGGGCAAGAGGAGATCCACTGGGGAGCCCTCAACACCACCTTCAAATTGTAACCATAAATGATCCAGCAATACCACTCCTGTCCAAAACAATGGACAGCAGGGTCCCAAAAAGATATTTGTATACCCATGTTTAAGACAACATGATTAACAAGCTAAAAGGTAGAAGCAACCCAAGTGTCCATCAGCAGGTAAATGGATAAATAAAGTGTATTATAATATATACATAATCAGCCTTAAAAAAGGAAGGAAATTCTGACATATTACAACATGGGTACAATTTGAGGACATTATGCGAAGTGAAATCAGCCAGTCACAAAAAGACAAATACTCTATGATCCCACTTATATGAGGTATTTTGTCAGAATCACAGAGACAGAAAGTAGACGGGTGTTTACGGGGGGCTGGAGGGAGTGGGGAGTGGGGAATTGTTTCATGAGTGTGGAGTTTCAGATTTGCAACTTGAAAAGGTCTGCAGATGGGTTGCACAACAACGTGAATGTACCTAACACGACTGAACTGTACACTTAGAAATGGTTAAATTTTATGTGATGTGCGCATTTTCATCACAGTTGACGTTTTTAAATGAAAAAAATCGCAACAGTAAGTGCTTGGCAAACGTTAGCCATGTGCCACCCCTTTCCACGCATCATCTAATTTCCTCCCAACAATCCTACAACACAGGTGCTATAATCTCCATTTTACAGATAGAGACAGAGCGGCCCTGAGAAATGACGGTCAAGGTTGCTGGACAAGTGATGTGGGATTTAAACTTGTGCCTGGCTCTTAGCCCAGAGGCAGCCATCTTATCTATGATGCTACACTGCTGCTTCTCTTTGGTCTAGCTTATACCCTGACGTGGCCCACAAGATCGGAAACACAATTTGAAAACCACCAAATGGTGATGAATCTCACCAGCTCCCCCCTGTTCACAGGCTAACATCTCACTTTTCGGCCAGCCCCAAGCATCTCTGAGATGCGCCTAACCTGCCTTTCCACCTTTATTTTCCTCGACTCCCCTTCTCCCAGCCAGCCTTCAGCCAAACTGAACCGTCCATTACTTCCAGCCCATGCTGGGTTTCCCACCTCGGGCCTCTGCTCTGCTTTTTTCTCAGTGTTGGTCCTCATGTCCAAATGGTGCCCTTTTCCAAAAGCACAGTTTAATAATAAAATCAGTGACGATTTCCTGTGGGCTTACTCTCATGATCCCATGTCATCCTCACAATAACCTTCTGAGGAAGACTATCGCTTGCCCCCCCCCCATTTTACAGATGAGAAAACTGAGGCTCACAGAGGTGAAGGCCGCACAGCTGGCAAATGGCAGTACCAGGATGTACCTCCAAGTCCTGTGTGGTTTCAAACCCAAGTTCTTTTCAGCTTCACTACCGGGGATCAGGGACTGCCATGAGCCTTCCTGGATTTGTCCAGCTAAAGTGTGGCCTGCGACCTCTGAAGCCCCCCAGCTCCTCTCAGGTATAACAGCAGGTTGCTTCTGTGCTGGTCCCCACCGACTAGGAAGGTCAAAGTGGGAGTGGGTGATGCTCACGTCCTCAGTGCTTCCTGCAGGGGGGCTCCCTCGGTTATTCATTCAGGTCTAAAATAGCAGGCACTACCCCTGTCCTCTCCCACCAGACCCTGTGTAACTTGTCTTTATGGAAGTTGCCACCATCTGACAGAGGATGACAGGCCTGTTTGTGGTCTGTCTCCCCCACTAAGGAAAGCTCCACAAGGCCCGGGGCTTTTGTGTCATGTTACCTGATATCGCCCAGAACAGTGGCTGGCAGAGTAGGTGAAAGAATGAATGAATGAATGCACATCTACCCTTACAACTAAGAAATGACGTCAGCATTATTTTTTGATGAAGGACCATACAGTTTTGTACAAAGCAAGGTCCCCATATTTGCTCAAGAGCTATTCCCAAAGGTAGATTTCATTCCTGAGCACCTTGAAGCGAACCTGGATCAGTCCTGGAGGCATGGGGGTTATAGTCCACCTGGGGCACTTGGAATGAAAGTCGAGTTTGAGCTCAGATCTTAAGGATGAGGAGGTGTTAACCTGAGAGAAGGAAGAGAGGGGAGGAGTGGTCGAGAAGAGCATGTGCAAAGGTCCTGGGGAGGGAAGGAGCAGTGTGCCTCAAGCACAGTGGGCTACTGATAAAGTGGTCTGAGATGGACTGGAGGAGTAGCCCTGGCGTAGGTGGGGCAGACTGTGCAGGGCCTTGTGGTCCATGTTAAGAAAGTGGGAAGCCACAACAGGGTTTTAAACAGAGGGTGGTACAATCGGCTTGGTTTGGCTGCCACTTGGAGGGTCGCTAAGTGAAAGGTGGGTTGGATCCTCTCTCCAGCCCCCTTCTGCCTGCTGTAACACACCCAAGGCAGCGGGGGCCCCCCCATCTCATCTGTAGCCCCTATAGCAATGTTTACAAAACATTCAGGCCATAAAGGACACGGTGATAAGCCACTGAATGACATTTCTCAGGTTCCACAGGTGCAGGCCCAGGTGGCTGATCCAACCACTGTAGTCTGGTGGTAACCAGTGCAGGGAGAGATGGTTTCAGGCTCCTGAGAAGGTCTCCAGGCTCTGACCTTGATAAACTTCACATGCTGAGCTACGGCAATCTAATCAGTCAACGGTGCCCATCCAACCACTCCCGGGCCTTAAAGCAAAAGGGCTCCCAGAGTGGCAGACACTGCACAGGGCCCTTTGTGGCTCCAGCTCCTTTCATCCTCAGGA